CAAGATGAACTTGCTACAAAAATTTTGCAATTTTTTCAATTATCGTTACTTTTTTATGTTATTCTTCATAATGATGAGGTGGTTGTTTTTTTTGCATCCTAGTATAGTTCTTTTTTTTGTCAACACCACTGCGTTGGTCTTTGCCTAATTTGCCTAACGGACAAAAATTGTTTAACATCTCGGGGGTATATCTCAGAATTCAAGAATAACACAAAAAAAAACAATTTAATTCTAAATAAAACTATTCATGAGCATTTTAGTTTTTTTTTATTGATACGTCTATTATAAACTGTACACATTCTATTAAGGGTCCATTTCACGAGTACGAAAAAGTAGCAAAATAAGCGTTCAGCATTTAACGTTTCATGTAAAACTAGCTAGGTATTTTTACACAAATGAAAAAGGAAATTAAAGATAAAGGATTATACTATATCCGTATTGTAGTACATTTTTTGCGTTCACAACTTCTTAAATTTATTTTTATCATTTTGAAGGAACATCAACAAAATATTCCTTATGTTTGGACTAAATTTTCTCGAAAATGAAGACGTAATTTAAAATTCCGTTACAATACAGAAATAGATTGAAGTTTTGTGATTAGAGTGATTTTTTATGTGGTTTTGTAGCAAATTGCTCGCTATTTTATGGCAAATTCTGAAGCTCTGCAAACCTAAATCAAGCCTTAATCAAAGCACGTGTGTTTGGAATTTTGGGTGTGTCTTAACACGACAGGATAGGGCCCTAAGCAGATTTTTGAAATATAACACCATCGGCCACAAACCCGCTTCACCCGGCCCCTAAGAGCGACCCGAACAGTACAGCCTAACAGACTCTTAAGATAACATTATATGACCATAGGCAAAAATTAAATGACTAAATTTATTAGTTTTTATGGACGATAAATCTTATATTTTAGAACTAATTTTATTTATGACATCTAACATGAATATTCATTAACAAGAACTATAACGCATAAATAATGAGAAACATTAAACGCGTTAATCGAGCACATCGTAATAAATCCTGAAAATAAATTTTAAAATACGTTAAACTTCTGGAATATATCTCACTTTTAATTTTTAGCTGTAAAGTAATTTTAATGAGTATCGTGTTTTTTTTGTAACTCTAATTTCGAAATTTAAAACCCTATTATATACAGGGTGAGTTTTCTACGATGTTCTCTATGGGTATCTCGCCAACTACTGGAAATACATAGTCGGTTAAATGGGGAAAGAATTGCAGTTTTGTGGGGTCATAGATATGCGCCTTGCGGGTTTTTGAAAAAGGTTATGGCTTACTAGATATTTCGAAAAAAAAAATTCGGTTATTTAAAGAATGCTTCCTAATTCCATCATAATCTATTTTAGACAAAAAGTTTCAGATAAAAGTTGTAAATTACATCCTTAATGAGTCTGTGTTCAGCGTTTTTTTCTAAAGCCTGTCTTTTTGACTATGACTCAAATATATGTTTTTTTTTTTTTAAATGGAAACTATAGTTGGCCATGGCTTCATAAAAAGCGTCATTTTTATAGCTTTCCAGTGATATAAGCTATAATATATTTTTTTCGAAAAATTTCTGAGTTATCGCCAGTTCTTACCTTTTTTGACTAATTTCGCTTAGTTGGCATAGTATTCTTATTCTGTTATGATTCAAAACTTATAAAAAGACAGAATATTGTATTAAGCGGTTCTTTACAATTTACATTAAACAAATGAAAACTTAAAAAAACTAATATCACTACATACATTTTCAGTTATTTTAACAAATGTTTAAAAAATCCGCCATTGTTTTGAGTACATGAAATGCCTGTTTCATTAAAAATATGTTATGCATATTTCCGTTATATTGTCTAAATATTCCTGAACAGCCAGGGTACTATGTGCCGGGCAGCCATCCAGTTGATACCAAACTTCCTGATTTTCTCTAGCGGCATCATGTAAAGCAGGTAAAATATAATTTTCGAGTAGTTCCAAATAATATTCTGCATTTAAATTTCGCGTAAGAAATAATGGCCCGATAATATTGTATCCGAATATCCCTGCCCAAACATTTACTTTCTGTGGATATTGCGTCCTTGTTTCGACAAACCTGTGTTGGTTTTCTTTGTTCCAATATCGATAATTTTGAACATTGGGTTCATTATTTAAGGTAAACGTGCATTCGTCAGTGAAACATATGTTTTTTAAAAATTCCTTATCCGTGTTTGCTCTTTCCATCATATCAAAACAAAACGCTTGCCGCCGTATTTCGTCTCCATCTCGTAACTCTTGGTGCTTTTTATATTTGAAGGAATAGTATTTATGTCGTTTCAAAATGCGAAACGCTGTAGTGTGATCTATTCCTATTTCATCCTCAAGTTTCCTTGTGCGGGTCTTTCCATCGTTCTCTTCCACGCACAATAAAACCTCCAAGTCGGTAACATTTCTTGCATCTTCTCTTTGTTCCTGCCTTGTTTCACATCTGCAGTTATTTATTAGGGTACCTTTGGTCCCAAATCTCTGGATTGTCCTTGCGATTGTAGATTTCCCAGGTATCGCTCTATTTGGATACAGAGCACAAAACATGTCCGACACATTTTGATAACTATTTACTTGATAATACGATTTAATCATCAATACTTTTTCTTCGGTAGTGTAATTCATGGCTAATATTTTCGATGTAGGTATGAGTTTTTAATAATAATAATAAAGCACCAAATAGATAAATTTCTGAAATGACAACTTCATTTGACAGTTATCTTTTACCTTGACTGGTGCTCATAAGTAAATACAGGGCCATAAGAAACGAGAAATATTTAAAAAGAAATCGGCGATAACTCGTAAACGGGCTAATCAAAAATATCTAAAGTTGTTGTTTAGAATGTGGGTTTTAGTGCTCTTCAATAAACCTAAATAGAATTATTCTCTAAAATAATTAGGGAAGCCAATAATTGACCCCATTAAAATTTACATGGGATTTCCTATGTCCCGCTCGACGATGCAACACCCGGTATACAATTGAACAGTTTTTTTACTTAGCGAAGTGTAGCTTTATTCAGTGAAAATCAAACCAAACCAAACAGTAGTTTTTTAGAGGAACCCGTATTATGATAAATTATTTACGATCACTTAATCTATTAAAAAACGCTTACTTAAGTTTACAATAATTACATTAGTAATTTACAAAAAAAATTGTACTACTAAACATTTTAAAGTTTACTTACTGTATTAATTTAATAAGGAAGTATGGAGAGATTAAACTTGTTTTGTCCTCTCTTTTACACCAAAATGCTGGAAAATGCCGGCTTTTGTACGGAAGGGTTTTCTTATGCAGTAAAAATCACCTGTACAGGTTTGCAATACTACAAAAATTGTTATTTTATTAATTTATAGCTGTAACAGTTTAGAGAAACGTATTATGATCAATGATCCACGATCATTAAATCATAAAAAATTTGTAATAAATACATTATAACCCATATAAAAGATCTTGTAATGGTCAAAATTTAAGATATTTACTGTACTATTATAGTAAGGAAGAATCTACGGATTAAAAACTGTTTTTGTTCTCTTTACCACACCAAGATAGTACTGTCAATGCCTGCATTGGCACGAAAGGGTTTTCTTATACTGTGAAAATCACCTGTACAGATTATCAATGTTATTATTTAATAGATGTAACTGTTTAACGCTTTTACTTTTTGAAATTTATATTAATTACAATAGTAACTTACTTAAAAAGTTTCGCACTGGTAAAAATTTAAAATGCCTACTGTATTATTTCGGTAAGGAAGAACCTACAGATTAAATGTTTTAATCCAAACTAGCACACTAAAATGCCGGCATTGTCACGACAGAGTCACAGAGTTTTCTTATTCAGTGAAAATCACGTGTACAGGTTTGTAATACTGCAAGTGGGTTATATTATTATTTTATCGCTATAACTCTTTAGAAAAACCTATTGTGATACATAATCTACAAACATTAAATCTATTAAATAAAAACTGTTCTCAAAGTTTACATTAATTGCTATATTAATAATTTGCAGAAAAAGTTTGCACTGGTATACATTTTAAATACTTACTGTATTATTTCAGTAAGGAAGAACCGAGAGATTAAATGTTTTCGTCCTCTCTACTAGTGATGTAACGAATGCCAAATTTTAAGCATTCGCGAATGCGAATGCGAATACGAATATTCAGTTTTTAAATCTAGCGCCGCTTATCTATGATTCAAAATATGCCGCGCGCAACACATAATATTTCCGGTGGCAGTGGCGCTAGAAAAGCGCTAGAAGCTAAAGAAATTAGCGTTGTTAAGTCGGCAGCAGAGCGAGTCGACCTCGAATGATCTGTTAATTGAGATAGTAATTTCTTGGTGCGCTAGATGGCGTATCAAGTTTTTATAGCTGCCTAAAACTGAAAAAAAAATTGTTTCAGGTACTTACGTACTTTATTACAAGGTTCGCCCGGTTTTGTATTACAATAATTTTTGCAAATATTTATATTTTTATGAATATTTAAGTCACTTTTACTCTTAATTTTTTTAAAAGATAATATAACTAGAACTAGATGGCGCCACTTTAAATTTGAAACTATAAAATACACAGGAGTTGGCGTCCTTTTTTAGTATGCTCTGTTGTTGGTAGAACGGGTTTTTCCAATGATTGGAATTTTGTTTTGTTTTTGCTACCGGCTCAGACGAGTTTGTGAATTGTGAGGTTAGACTGTTATTAGACTTATTAGATTAGGTATTTTTTAACATGAATAAATCAACTTCTAGTGAAATATGGACTTATTTTACGATTTGCGAAGATGAACGAGCTAAATGTAAGTTGTGTAATAATGATTATTCACGAAAAGGAAGAACTACCACGGCTATGCGAAATCATTTAAAGTCGATGCATAAAACCGAGTTTTCTGAATTGGAAACATGTGAAGAAAAAAAAACGGAATGCATTTAAAACTCTTTCACTGGCATCATCGTCCCATGAAAGAACTAAATGTGAGAAGCAGAAACAAATGTCGATTCAAGACTGTATCGAAAAAAAGAAACAGTGGGATGACAAATCCGTGAGGTCTTTTGAAGTTGATAATTCCATAAGTGAAATGATTGCGCTGGATGACTTGCCATTTAGCTTCGTGGAATCTCTTGGATTCGAAAGACTTATGAGGCACCTGTGTCCATCCTATAATTTAAGGTCTCGTCAGTATTATACTACGTTTATCTGCGATAAATTATATGGCAAAGTCAGCCAGAAAATACTCGAGTTGCTGAAGTCCTTTGAAAAAATGTCATTTACAAGCGACATCTGGTCTGATTCTTGCTCTGGGGTTTCGTTACTGAGTTTAACCTGTCATGGAATTACAGAAGAATTAGAAAGGAAAATGATAGTTTTAAAAGCAGAAGTGTTTAATGACGGCCGCCATACAGGAGAAAATATTATGCAAAAACTTGAAGGTATTTTATCGACGTGGGAAATACCTAAAGAAAAAGTAAAATGTGTAGTTCGGGATGCAGGAGCAAACATGAAAAAAGGTGTTTCCTTATTAAATGTTGAACACATTGATTGCGCTTCACACAAGATTCAAAACGTGTTGAAAGAAGGGATGAAAGCTCAAGAAACTGTCATGGCTGCTATAACGAAATGTAAAAAGATCGCAACACATTTTCATCATTCGAATTCTGCTCAAGACGAGCTTAGTAAATTACAGAAAAGATTTAATCAAACACCTCTCAAGATTATACAAGAGTGACTAGATGGAATAGCACCTTTTATATATTGCAGCGTATTTTGGAAGTCCAAGAGGCAGTTTGTCTTTAAGCATCCACAACAAACAATAAAATTCCCCAACTGACTTCCGAAGAGTGGATGATCATAAAAAAACTTGTTGGTTTACTCAAACCTCTTGAAGATATAACTAAAGAATTAAGTTCGGCCAAAGTTTCTGTATCATCAGTGATCCCCTTAATTGTCACTTTGCAAAAAATTCTTGATGATTTTGATTCTACCGATGAACACATTGGTTAAACAATAAATGTATTGAGAGAGGAGCTCAGTCACAAATTTGGATTTTTGGAAAACGAAATATTGTTTGTCACGGCGACCTTCATTGATCCATGATATAAAATCAAGTTTTTTAGAAGTAACTCGATTAAAGATCGTGTCATACAACATATTTTGGATTTGCTTGGAGACAGTGAAACAAGTGCACCTTTATGTTCGCGTAATGCAAAGCCTGCTAGATTGAATGAAACTGAAAATTCCACTACATATAAACGTGTTTCTTTTAGGGAAACAATGGAATCACTGATGGACGATACCAGTGACAGCGAAGAAGATGACGTTCAAAATGACCAGAATCCTGTTCATCTTTTAATTCGTAGAATGCTTACAGAATACTTAGCGGAAAGACGCGTAGCAAATGACGTTGACCATTTAGCTTGGTGGAAAGTGAACAAGCAGAAGTACGGGCTTATTTCTCCTATAGCAAAGCATTATTTAGTCACACCACCAACGAGTGTCCCGAGCGAACGCGTGTTCAGTGGTGCTGGCCTTATTTATACACCGCATCGAAACAGACTTGAAGGAGAAAAAGCATCGAAGCTTTTATTTCTGAAGTTTAATATTCCTCTTCTAAAGTTTGATTATTAACTGTTTTTCGTAAAATAATTAAGATAAAGGATAAAGTGTTTGTTTACTTTTTGAAAGAGGTTTAAGATTTGTTTTTGTTCTTATAGAAGTTTTTATTTTTTAATCTAAATTTTTATCACAATAATGTGTTCTATAATTAATATAATAAGTATATATATATATATATATATATATATATATATATATATATATATATATATATATATATATATATATATATATATATATATATATATATATATATATATATATATATATATATATATATATATATATATATATATATATATATATATATATATATATATATATATATATATATATATATATATATATATATATATATATATATATATATATTATATAATTAAAAAGAAAAGAAATGAATACTTTTTTGTTTAATTTACCTAATATTGTTTTCACATTCTGTATTTTTCTTTCAAGTTCATATTCGCAAAATATTCAAAGATATTTGCGAATGCGAATACCAATGCGAATATCATAAATCAAACGAATATTCGCGAATGCGAATATTCGTTACATCACTACTCTCTACTACACCAAAATAGTACTGTCAATGTCGGCATTAACACGAAAAGCTTTTCTTATTCAGTAAAAATCACCTGTGCAGCTTTGCAATACTACAAAATGGGCTATAGGTATTATTTCATAGATGTAACTGTTTAGGAAAAATGTTATTATGAGAAATAATCTACGATCACGACTATAAACATATTAAAAACGCTTATTGAAATTTACATTAACTAAGTTAGTAATTTACTTAAAAAGCTTCGCACCGGTAAAAATTTAAAATAGTTTACTCTATTATTTCAGTCAGAAAAAACCTACAGATTAAATATTTAAATCCTAACTAGCACACTAAAATAGTACTGTCAATACCGACATTGTCACGAAAGGGTTTTCTTATTCAGTGAAAATCCCCTGTACAAGTTTGCAATACTACATAATGGGGTATATTATTATTTCATATATGTAACTGTCTAGAGAAACGTTATTAGGAGAAATATACTACGATCGCTAAACCTATTAAAAACGCTTATTGAAAATTACATTATTTACAATAGTAATTTACTTAAAAAAAACTTCGCACCGGTAAAAATTTAAAATGCTTACTGTATTATTTCAACTGTAAGGAAGAACCGAGGGAAGAACCGACAGATTAAATGTTTATATCCTCTCTACTACACCAAAATAGTACTCTCAATGCCGGCATTTCCACGAAACGGTTTTTTGTTCAGCTAAAATAACTTGTACAGGTTTACAATATTACAAAATGGGCTATATTATTATTTCATAGATGTAACTGTTTAGAAAATCGTTATTAGGAGAAATAATCTACGATCCTAAACCTACTAAAAACGCTTATTAAAGTTTACATTTTTAATTTACTTAAAAAGTTTCGCACTGGTAAAAATTTAAAATGCCTTACTGTATTATTTCAGTAAGAAAGAACCGACAGATTAAATGTTTTTGTCCTCTATACCACACCAAAATAATAATGTCAATATCAGCATATGCACTGAAGAGCTCTCTTATTCAGTGCAAATTACCTGTACAAGTTTGCAGTAATACAAAATGGGTTATATTATTATTTTATAGCTGTAACTGTTTATAGAGACCCTTATTATAATACATAATCTACAAACACTAAATCTGTTAAATAAAAACTCTTTTTAAAGTTTACATTAACTGCTATATTAATAATTTGGATAACAAGTTTGCACTGGTAACCATTTAAAATACTTACTGTATTATTTCAGTAAGGAAGAACCGGGGGAAGAACCGACACATTAAATGTTCTTATCCTCTCTACTACTACACCAAAATAGTACTGTCAATGTCGGCATTGGCACGAAATGATTTTATTATTTAGTTAAAATAACCGGTACCTACATCTTTGCAATACTACAAAATGGGCTATATTATTATTTTATAGCTGTAACTCTGTAGGAGAATTGCTATTATGAGAAATAATCTACGATCACTAAACCTATTAAAAACGCTTGTTAAAATTTACATTAATTACATTAATAACTTACTTAAAAATCTTCGCACCGGTAAAAATTTAAAATGCTTACTGTATTATTTCAGAAATCAAGAACAGACAGATTAAATGTTTTTGTCCTCTCTGCCACACCAAAATAATAATGTCAATATCAGCATATGCACTGAAGAGCTCTCTTTTCAGTGCAAATTACCTGTACAAGTTTGCAGTAATACAAAATGGGTTATATTATTATTTTATAGCTGTAACTGTTTATAGAGACCCTTATTATGATACATAATCTACAAACACTAAATCTATTAAATAAAAACTCTTATTAAAGTTTACATTAACTGCTATATTAATAATTTGGATAACAAGTTTGCACTGGTAACCATTTAAAATACTTACTGTATTATTTCAGTAAGGAAGAACCGGGGGAAGCATTGGCACGAAATGATTTTATTATTCAGTTAAAATAACCGGTACATCTTTGCAATACTACAAAATGGGCTATATTATTATTTCATAGCTGTAACTCTGTAGGAGAATTGCTATTATGAGAAATAATCTACGATCACTAAACCTATTAAAAACGCTTGTTGAAATTTACATTAATTACATTAATAATTTACTTAAAAATCTTCGCACCGGTAAAAATTTTTAATTACAGATTAAATGTTTTAATCCTAACTAGCACATTAAAAGAGTACTGCCAATGCCGGCATCGTTACGAAAGGGTGTTCTTGTGAAAATTCATTTAGTGAAAATCACCTGTACATATTTGTAATACTGTAAATGGGTTATATTACTATTTTATACCTGTAACTTTTTAGAAAAACCTATTGCGATTTGCGGTACATAATCCACAAACATTAAATCTATTAAATAAAAACGCTTATTAAAGTTTACATTAATAACTATATTAATAATTTGCACATAACAAGTTTTCACTGCTAAACATTTAAATACTTACTTTATTATTTCAGTAAGGAAGAACCGACAGATTAAATGTTTTTGTCCTCTCCACCACACCAAAATAATACTGTCAATACACCGGCATTTACACGGAAGGGTTTTGCTCCACCGATCACTTCGCGCGAAAACTGCACCGCGAGTTTGGAAGCGAGTTGCGCTCGTCGGCCGATGCTTCTCCAAAGTTCGGCGATTTGAATCTACAAGTTCGAAGAGTCTGCGGATCATTGGGACGTCGGGACGCCGCCGACGCAAGCGCCATCTGACGCCCGACGTCGACGTCGTCGGTGCTCTATCCCATCTCCGTCCTCTTCGTCCTGTTTAGCCCAATAACTTAAGATGGAATTCGACAAAAGGATCAAGGATGAGGGATGAAATAGGGGAGGTTAGAGTTTTTTATTAATGATTTCTGTCTATTTAATGTGATCGTTTAATTTTATGACATCAGTGTATTGAGTTAAAACATGATCTGTGAATACAATTGAAGCTACTAGTGCAAGAAGGTGTTAATAGCTAATAAATTTAGAGTTTTGAGAAAATGAAGCCCAATTTTTTTTGATTTGAACTTTTTTCCGAATTAACACTTTTCTTATTTTATATTATAGTAGCTAATAGGCCAGTAAGCGAGGATAAAAATAGGGTTGCAACCAAACCAAACCAATTCAAACCTCCGAATTCTTAACACCCGCACCGATTGACGTGAAATTTTAACAGTGAATAGAGATATATGTAAGAAACAAAAGTTACATACTAACGATGTGGGCTATCGCCTTGGGGGTGAGTGCTACCCCTTCTAGGGGGTGAAAAATAAATCATCTATTTTAATTACAGAAATCAATAAAGGGATGAATTCTAAGCAAAAATGTTCTATAACATTTTTAGAGAAAATTATTATTTTTTTTTTATTATAGTTATTTAGGATTGAAAATGTTGATTTTTCATCTAAAAACGTATATTTTTCTGTTATTTTTTATAAATAACTCGAAAACCTTCGCTTTTTATTGCAAAATCCATATAAAGTAAAAATAAAGCTTTTGGAATAACGAAACGATTCATTTGTGTTGATTACCGTAGGTGTAATAGCCGAGTTATCACTCTGGTAATAGCCGAGTTATCACAAA